GGCGCGAGCTGAGGGACTTGGGGGGGCCACGCCGCGTGCCTGCGGCCTCCCGTCCCTGCGAGCGACCGGGGCAGGGAGAGGGCTCGTCCTTCGCTTCTCCGGTGCCGCGGGGCTGAGCGGGGGCTCCGGGGCCTTCTGGGCTGCTCGGGGAGGCGCTGGGGAGGGAGGAAGAGACGACTTAGCGGTGGTGGAAACCGCGACCTTTCCAGGCGCTTTCTGTGGGATTTGGGGCAAAAAGGTGACAGAAAGCTCGTGTCGCAAACGTAGGAGTGTTGGTTTGGTGCTGCCGGGTGCTGGTTCGGACCCTGGGTTGGGGGTTAAATTTCTTTCGGGGTTTGGTAAGTCTCTTAGGCGGTGAATAGATTGGAAAGGAAGTGAACAGGTACCGTCAGCGGTGGTGGCCTCTGCCGTGGGCAATTGCAGAGAGGGGTCGAATCTGACTTTTGCATCTGGGTTGCGTTGTCTCAGGTGCGTTTTTTCCGAGTCCTCTGTCGTGGAGGAGTCTCAGATCTTCAGCACTAACTGCACCTCGGAATGTCCCCGGGCCTGTGGGTCCCTGTTGGATTGTGTGGCTGGTTTTAAACTCCCCTTTGTGATGTGCCTGGCCTTTTGTCTTGGGAAAGGAAATGAACTTCGGGAGTGTGCCTGGTTTGTTTGGGTTTTTTCCTGTAGCAAACTAAACAGACATTTTACTGCAGATGCGTATAGAGTGATTGAAGTCCTGTATTTAACCACAAGGATATGGCAAACGGGCAAAATATACTAACAGTGAGGAAGTGTGCTGTCTGTGTAGGATGCTAACGAAGAGCTTGAGAAAATAAAAGGGTGACTGACCCATACTAGTGTAGAGTTGGACATTGGATGCAATTTAGCTATAAATTAAAAAACTGAAACCTAGTTACATATGCAGATACCTCTGCCCCTTAAGAATGTCCCGTTGGATTTACTGATGGATTAGCCTGGCTTCTATGCCGTTACGCCTCAGTGTGCCTCTTTTCTCATTGACAAGATCGTGTCTTGCTTTTCCTTCCTCATACTCTGACAGATATGTGTACGCTTCCCGAGAGGCTGCATTATGCAGAGCTTGAGGAGAGTTTCAGCACAAAGAAGAACTTTGCTGTCGGGACCACGGTGTCATACATCTGCCGTCCGGGGTATAAGAGGATCCACGGAATATCATCAGTTCGTACATGTGGTGAAGACTTAGAGTGGTCACCCATAGAGCAGTTTTGTACAGGTAATGGGTGTGTGAACTCTTTTGGTTTTTTTCCTTTGATATTTAACAATTTTAGTTGTTTTTCAAGTGAGAATTAGTATTGTGTAATATTTTAAACAAAGCTTGAAAAGTGCTAATGCCGGTAAGAGCAGTGTATGCCAAAGACAGTGTTTCTGTATGACTAGGAAGATGTAGATTTTTCATTTATTTTTTTTCCTCTCACCCTAGAGAGAAAATGTATCCATCCAGGACATTTAGAACATGGTTATATTAATGTGACGGATCTTTCATTTGGTTCAAAAGCTACTTTTTCTTGTGAAAAAGGGTAAGTATTTTGGTGAAGGTAATGAATTATTTTAATTTTTTTTTTTTGTTCTCTAGATCAGATTTGAACCAAACCCAAACTCCTTTTATGTAGGTTCCATTCCAGTTCTGACTTGAAATGTCTCCTGAAGTGTACCTGGAGCAAATGAAACGACAGTTAAATTTGATTTGATTCCCTGGATTTACTTGCTGCTTCCATCAACTGAGGCTTAAGCTTTTTAGTGAGATTATGCAGAGGGACAACCAGAGTGTTCCCTCTAATGACTTCTTTTAAGGCTCCTGTGGCAGAGGGAATAAATATATATCTTCATCACCCTTCATTATTTCACTGAATAATGGCCCACCTGTCTGTATACAGCAAATGATGTCAAAAGCACTAACCTCTTACAAGGGTTTTTCCTCCCTTTCCTTTGTAAAGCTTCTTTCTGTGTATTTGTAACTTCAGGGCAGTAGTATTAGAGGGTACACATCTTAAAATGGTGAGGCTTCCATCAATTCCTTTATGGATGACTCATTTGCTTCTGTTGTGTTTTCGAAGTTGAAACTGTTAGCAGACTAAAAAAGATATCATTCACACGACAACAAAAACTTGGTATGTCATGTCCCCATAGTCACAAAACAGAACGATGTGAACAGAGTCTCTGTCTGTTTGTTGGAGAAATGAGAGATTTAAGTACCACCTCTAAAATTTTTTACCTGTCTAGATTCAGATTACGTGGAATTGATGAAATTTCCTGTGTAATTAAGGATAAAGGTGTTGACTGGAATGGACATCTTCCTCTCTGTGAAAGTAAGTACATTACTACTGGGTTTAAGCTTACATTCAGATGGTGGTATTTCATTTAAAACCAGCTGTGCCATGTACTAGACAGTATAAGAAATGATGGTAAAATGGGAGTGATTTTGCTTTTGTGGAACTTCTGGGGGTGTGCCGGAGGAATGACTATGAAAACTACCAGTTATTCTGGTAATTAGCTCATATTGGTTAAAGTCAGCTTCTTCTTGAAGTTGAGACTCCCTGTGATAAATGGCCATCGGTAACTCGATTATAACTGTAGTTTGTCTTAGAAATAGCTGTATGTCAGATTTTAAATGAAATTACTTGAAAACCAAGGCTCGCTATTTCTGAGGTGAACAAGGTAATGGCAAAATTCTAAATTTTGGGATGAGTCTGTGCCCAGACTAATTTGTGTGATTTATTGCTAGGAATTCCCTGTGAACCGCCCCCCAGCATAGCCAACGGCCGCTACACCGAAGCAGATAACTATGTTTATGGAACATCAGTGACCTACACGTGTGATGATGCTCCGAAAGGCGTGGATCCTTTCTCGCTGGTTGGCTCAGCCACTCTTTTCTGCATGTACGATGAACAGTCAAATGGAGTTTGGAGTGGGCCGCCTCCACAGTGTAGAGGTTGTTTTTCAATATACTACTTTATTATAGCCTGTGTGACCCCAGAACTTCAGTATCTGTCCCTTTTTTTGGAAGGGATGGGCTGGGGGGAAAGGTCTTCCCTATAGACAAGAAGAAACAGAACCTCTGGCGCTAAGTGTGGTGTAGTGTTCAGTGGAGGTCACATCGCCTGCATTATTGGTATTGATTGATTATGACACTGAAAACTGACTAAAATTTAAGTTAAAACTTGAAAAAGAAGTGAGAGACCATAAGGCCTGGGTAGCTGAAGAAAAATTGTGTAAAGACCAGGAATGTGGAAGCTAGGTTATGAATAGTGAAAAGGTAAGGAAGAACTCCTTTTCTCAACACCGCTGCTATGCAAGTGCAGGAATAAATGCAAAGCCCATAAAGCAGAAAGTCTTGCTTTGCCAGCGTAGGGAGAAATGGCAGATACTTGCATGTGGATACCTGAACCCTAATCAATATCCCTTTGTTCTTTGAAATTCTGCCACTGTACGGGAGTTTGTCTTTTGGAAGTGGAATGTGATTATGTCAATTATTCCAATTCCTTCCTTGACTGTACCATTACAGCTCAATAGCTTCAAGCAAGAGCCCCCTCCACCTTCAAAAGAATAACCTTTTGACAAAGCCCCTCCAAAACAGTTCCAGAAATTAGATAAGGAAACTTAGAAGCGGCAAAAGGATGTTGTGTCTGTTGCAAAGGTACTGTTAACAAATGCTTCAGAGCTGTTTTTCCTTAACCTATTTCAGTGGTCAAATGTGATAACCCGAAAGTTCAAAATGGGAAAAAAAAAGGTGGATTTGGATCTTCCTATGGCTATATGGACACAGTCATGTTTGAGTGTGATCCAGGCTACGTCCTGATCGGACCAGAGGTAATTACTTGCGGAGAGAATGGTGCCTGGTCTCCAAAACCAACTTGTGAAAAAAGTAAGCCTTTAAATAAGAATCTACCTTCTCTTGTGTGTTGAGAATGTTGCAAGTCTGCCACAGCTGAAATTTATGACTCGTAACACTGTCGTTGGAAAACAAGCTCAGGAAGCTGACGTGGAGCCTCATCTGTGGGCAGCTATTTTAGGTGTCTGAGTGACTTAACTCCACAGTGGTTTTGGATGAGAGTGAGTTGAGTTACAGACATGAGCGTAGAAGTTGTGGCATGGATATACTGTGATGCTACCGCAGTGTAATAGCCTCGCGGTGTTTGTTCTAGTGATTTAATGTGTAAATACAGACGAAAAGATGTGTTTCTGAGGTCTGATAGAAAGAATGAGGAGTATGCACAATGAGGAAACCTCTAGTGTCCTGCTGGAGCAATCAAAATCGTTACGTGTGTGTTCTCTTATGCAGCTTTTCAGCTCTTAGAGGCATCTTGGATGGTGTGCAGTATGTTGTTGGGTTTTTTGATCAGGCAGATTAAGTCAGGACTAATTTGCAGGGCTGGGGACATTGCAGAGGTCTTTCTGTACCCTTTCTCCTTCCTCTTTGTGCTAAAGGGAGGGGGAACGTTGTTGTCAAGCCCAGTGAGAGAATTTTTTATGTGCATACTCTAGTGAGCTCCCAAGAATGAGAACCGCTTCTGCAAAGAATCCGTTTGGGTGTTCATAATGAACGAGTCTGATGAGGCACCTGGAAATGGCTCTAGAGCTTACATAACCAATAAACCAACCAATATGAATTTCTTAGCTACCTCATCATACTATCCTGTTACTTTAGTGAATACCTACAGTGACGTTTCTTTGAAGTCTTCTAAAGGAAACATTTATACTTAAAATTGTGTTAAACTATCCAGATATGCTGACCTATATTTCTCCTACAAAGGCAATGTATATTTGTGGAGTGAGTTAATGAATTACAAAATGTTTAAAGTGTATTATCACTGAAGTTATTTTTAAATTCATGTGTTAGTTGCCGAAGACGTATGTGGTGCCCCAAAGATCAAACATGGAGTAGTGATTCCAGCGAAATCTGTGTATGAAGGAGGAGAATCTGTTCAGATAAAGTGCAATGTTCACTGTGCTTTTCCTGATGGCACTGAAGAGATGACAGTAACTTGTCAAGGACACAATATATGGAGTTCTTTACAAAACTGTGCATGTGAGTAAAACTCAGAATTGGTAAAATCGAGGGCAGAGGGACATGTTCCAAACGTCTGATGTTGTAATGTGCAGACCCTGAGATTCAGGGCACCAACAGGTTATGTTTGTAGGGTTGGGAGTGTCACGGGTTGGAGTTGCAGCAACTGAGGAGAGTTTTTGGCCGGGCTGGAGTCCTTGTTCAGTCTTAGTTTTGCTTATGGCAGTGGGTAAACTCAACAGCCAGTGGGAAAGAGCTATTCTGGAGTGTTTTCTGAAGATACTTTCCCTCGAGCAGACTTTATTCTCGCCTCCCTTTGCACCCATCACTTGTTACAGTGTGAGCAGAGGTGATCTGTCCTTCCATGCATCTGTTTGTCCTGATGCAGCCCAGATGTGCATTTCCTTTGTGTCTGAAGCATGTCCACCAGAAGGCTCTGCAGCCTCTGGGCAGCTGGAAGCCTTTGCATATAAAATGGCTTAAGGATTGACTGAGCTTCTGATATTTACCGAAATGTAGGGAGTTTTTCAGGGCAAATTCTTGCATCTGCTTTACGTACCCCAACTCTGTTCTTGGGCTTTATCTGCCTTTTTCTTTACCCCTCCCTTCACATGCAGGTGGGTCTGTAAGTTCTGGATTCACGCCAGTCATAAGTAATGGGAGAGTAATTGATGGAGAAAAACCTTTCCATTATTTTGTCGGGGATTTCATTGTGATTGAGTGTGATCCAGGCTACACCTTACATGGCGAAGCTCGTATCCAGTATATTGGAGAAAACCAGTGGAATCCTGGAGTGCCAACTTGCCAGTTAAGTTAGTATGAACTGCATTAATTTCTTGGGGATGTTCTTTTGTATTCAGGAAAAATAATTTAATGCAAACTTCCTTCTTTATTTTGACATAAGAAAAATAGGATTTGGTAAAATCCATTTAAAAATGGGGATTTTTTTTTTCAAGTTAATTAAATGTGATAGAAACTGACCTGCTGCAGGATTCTGACAGAAGAGCTAGATCTATTTGCAATAACTTTGAATATATTTGTAATAGTGTTTGAATAAGAAGGGCATGTGTTCCTCTCATGATACTGATTCCCTCTGTTCTTAGGTGTGTATCTGACGGTCATCATCGTTGGTAAGTGTCTTATAAAACCTGAACAGGATGTGATGGGGATTGTCTCTTTTATGTGGGACTGATATTCTGGTTGTCACCTGTGACTGCAGTAATATAACAGGATTTTAGAGTTTTGGTTATTTTAAAAATGCTTGTCTACTCCTAAAGCTGCATAGTTCACAGGAAGTTAAGATTGCTTAGCAATTATAGGTGAATTTCATGTGAAAGGTGTATTTAGGTGAGGCATCAGGTTTCAAAGGGCGTATTCCACACCTTTAGTCAATTTTTATAAACTCCTCAGAGCTTGAGTTTACTGGAAGTGTGGATAAATAACCATGCCAGTGAACAGAAGTGCTCAGTCCCTCTTCTGTCCTTGCATGTGTTAACCCAGTTGTGCAAACCTACCATTGTCTTGGAAAGTTCCTGTCAGAAAGTAACGGTCGAATGTTGACGTGTCTGCTGCCCTGCTGCTGAACTGGTGGGGTCTTGCCGGTCACTGTTCCTGCGCTGAACTATCTTGAAGGATTTTGAGTAAAGCATCAAAAACATATTTGTGAAATAAGCCATGCAAATTTTAAGGGTTGTTTTCTGGGGGGGTGTATAGGACTGTAGATGAAGACAGTGCCATTTTTGCAAAAAATTTTTGTGGCTGTTTGTGAGCTACAGATGATCTTTATCACTCTAAGCCTTCTTTAAATTCTTCCTAAAGGGGCTGTGGCAGTTGTGGTGCTCCTGGTAGCCTTCTGTGTCTATAAGAAATGCTGTTCACAAAATGGGTGAGTGAACGTGCTTTTATTATTATTATTATTGCAAATTTCTGACTGACTGAGCAAAAGCAGTGCTAATGCATATGGAAGTTTCTTAAGCTTTATCTTCCCTCTCTTTTTCAAATGTGTGATGATTATATGTGAGCTTGTTAAAGCAGCTGATGGGAAGCTGAAATGCCTAACGCTCTATTTGACTTTGTTTTTATATCTGCTGTTCAAATAAGCTGGTAATTAACACTTGCACTAATTGCAAGGAAGGAAAAACCTTGTTCTTAAGCTTGAATTTGGCATAGGTACGCTTGCCAAGGAAAGTACTGTTCACATCTGCTCTAAAACATGTCAGTTTACCTCTTAAAGCCAGTGGTAGTGTTGGCTGGCGTGGGATTGTGTGACGGCATTGCTTGGATACAGCCTGTGAGACCTAGTGATGCCAGAGGGTAAGAGCCAGAGTGGTTTATGTGAACTGGAAGCCTTGGGGTTGAACTGAGGAGCTGCTTCTCTCCTAGATGTCTCAGTGGTAGTGGAGGTTAAGTGGAGAACCAGTGCTTTGTGTTTTGAACCAGAAGCACCTTGACTAAAATAATATGGGCTTAGTTACAAGGAAAATACGAAAAAAAATTGACCTAAACTGGTGCTTCTGTGCTGTTAAAACCCCAAATAGTTGGCTTTGCTGCTCAAGTGTTTAATGTGTGGAGCCACTTCAGTGTTTTCTCCTGCAGCAGCAATGATTGGTGTCCCTATGTTGAAGACTTGCAAAATCAACTGTAAAATAGGAGATGCATAAGTAGCAGTGTTTTTCTGGTTTTAATGATCCATATAGGGCCTTTTGAACTTCAGAACAACTGATTGTTATGTCTGCTTTTTAGGGGAGGAGTGGCAGGAAATTTAAATGCCTCTGTGCATTGCTTCTTGCAATGATGCCTTAGTTTATCATCTTGAAAAAAAGCCTGTTTTGTTGGGAGAAATAGTTTGTATTATGCAAAATACTGAAAATTCACAGCAAGTCAGGTGGTACGCACAGAACATCATGATGAGCATCTCATCGAAACTGATGAGAAGAAACCTTTAAATGAGATCTGTTTGGAATTTATCTGGAGTATGTGAAGCCAAGGAAGGGATCCTATAAAGAAAGCAAACCAGAGGAAATGTTCCTGCAATGGAGTACACCCAGTATTAGTTGGGAGAGCCCTGAAGCTGGTTTACATCTAGTGAGGTTTTAGCCCTAGTAGCTTCCACATAGGCAGCACCGTATCGTTACAAGGGCCGGAGTGGCTCTCGGCGTGGCTGCGTACCTGCGTGCTGCTAGGTGAGTCAGTGCTTCTGAGCAATGGCTTTTCACCTGTGACTTGGATAATCTGCAGTCTGGATGGGCCAAATAAGACTGTGCGGGAGTTAGTAGTTTTAGGGCAGCACTTTCTGCTTTCATCTGTGGAGAGACTTCTCAGGGTGTAGAAAGGAGGAGGGATCTAAAGCAACATCATCCAGAATTACAGAATGTTATATTCCTGGAAAGTTTACCACATGAAAAGTCTTGTTGCGCTCAATGCTCTCCTTAAGCTTCCGCGCTGTGAACATCTGACTGTTAAACCTCTTTCTTGTCTGAAAACCCTAATCTAATCTGTTATTAAAGCCTAGATCTCCCTATTTAGTTTTCAGGGTTCCTGATGTAGCTGAGCCTTTCAACTGTTGTGCTTTCAGTACCTCATACTTGCTGTGCTGAGGTCTTCAAATGACAGCAAAAGCCTTTTCTTGCCCTCTTTCTTGTGTGTTTAATCTGCCAGTTTTATAGGACATTCAATTAGACTTTTTTCCCCTTCTGCTGTTCAGCTCATATACAGTTGATGAGAGTTGCAAGGAAACATGTATTTTAAAAACTAATGTACCAGCTGAGATGGAAGAAACTACACAAATGAATTAATTGAATCTTAAAAAGGTATACACTTTCCACTTAATTTGGATTTTTGCTATGAAGCTTAAGTGTCTTTTTTATTGTTATTATTATGGTTTACTTAGAGTTTCTGGAGAAATGTGGAACCTAGCTAGCTGTGACCCTCAGTCTCCTGTAGGAAAAACTGTACTAACCGTCCCTTCGTTTTGGGAGGACAGGATAGGTATTATACAAAGAATTACCTTTCAGTGTCGTAAAGGATAGCTTCCAGCGATTGCGTCTCACGTATTGTAGTTCTGGGTTGTCTTTAAAGAACGAGTAGCATTTTCTCCTAGGTAGAAACTCGATACCTGCTCAGTACAATGTTTGCACCTCCTTCAGTAACATGAAATAGACTCCAGTGGTGTGTTACTCCAATTAGCTAGTAGTACAATTCCCTATAATTAGACGGCTCTTGGAGCTGGAAGCCACCTTTGCTGCAACACGTGGATGCTGGAGTTACAAAGGTAGTGTGGATCCCATCAGAGAAAACCAGATCACGTGCCTCAGAATTACTGGTGCAGCTGTTTCCAGCTTTCTAGAGAAAAAGAAAATAAATGAGGGTGCAAATAATGTTGTCTTTTTAAACCTTTTTATAAAAAGGTGATTTCTTTTTCAAATTCAGAGTTCTGTAGCCCTAAAGAGGGTCAAAATGTAGTCACTTGTTTGGAAGTGATTTCCTCTCCTACATCTTAAGCTAGTGCTTTGTGCAGTGGTCGGGTGCACTTGTTGACACTTACGATTGCTCCTGCACTCGTGTAGTGTCAAATTAGCTCTTTGAAAACGCTCACTCTTCAAATCTTCTGACAGGAGAACAGATCAAAGACAGGACAGCTTAGTTGGGCTGTTCCTTGTCACTATTTTGTCATTACTACCTTAAGAGTTTGCACTACAAATGCTTTAGTGAAGCAAACTTCGTGTTGCTTTTCTCCATTGCAGAAGTTCTGAGAAGGTAATGGTTGAAACATGTCTCAAACTTACACGAAGGTCTTTTCAAATGTGTAGTCTTGATTTTATTTACTTTTAAAGAACAAGTGCCTTTTCAGTGTTTTTGATACGTTTGAGATGGCATACAAGAAAACTAAGCTTGTAGTTTCTTCCCAAATAACGTGTGGATAATTGAATATCGTCTACCTCTGATGTAAGATGTTTCTACTTGAGGTGGGATTAGTTTTCTGGGTTAGTGGGGCTTAATTTTGGAGATGGGGGGAGGGGGAAAAGGGAATTGAGAGAGAATAGGGTTCTTATTTCCAATTTTACCTTTTGCACATGACAGTGCTAAGAGAAATTAATAGTGTGGTATGCGTACACACCGTTAACCCCTGAGCTTTGTGTCTACAACTCCTTAGAGACCTAGAGTAAGAGCGCAGGGGTTCAATGTGTCTTTTGTCTGTAATGCACAGCAGGAGTTACTCAAGAACTTGAAAACAGATATATATGGATGTAATTACAAATTTTAATCCTCATATATATAGGTATTGTAAATTTGCTATTAGATTACAAAACCAAAATTCTCACAGATGCTCAGCTTCTGGTTATAAAATACATACTAAGCAACATGCTGTATTTAAAGGAATTTATAAGGGATGCTCCTGATGTAGTCTCCAAATAAGTTTGGAATCCTGTAACTGTGCTGTTTTCAGTTTTTGACAATACTCAGGCGTGATCTGTTCATCGCTTGAGATGATCCACTTGGATCTCATGTTCTTCTACTCACTGGGACATTAACCGTCTAGGGGTTGAAATGAAGTAAACACCTCGGTCTAGCAGTTACTTAGTAAGAAGAGGACAAATAATGCTTTAGCTTCATGACTTTACATGCTAATTTAGTGATAAGCCTAAGGATGTGCTTTCAGGATAAATGTAAAAAATATTTAAATGTAAAATCTCTGATATGACTTGTTTTTCTGTTTGTAGGAAACGTGACAGCACTCCATGTACTGCCGAATATAAGAGCTGTAAAGCATGAATGGCCTTTTTTGGGGGGTGGGAGGGAATAACTATCAGAATACCTATCAGAAATGGAAAATGATTGCACTTACATTGACTTTCTGTGGATTAATACCTTGTACTATGTCTTATACTACTGATTAACTGTAGGAGATCGTTAATAGGGTAATATATATATGCTTTTCCTTATGGGCCACTCATAATGTCTTTGCTGTACGTGAAATGGTGTTAGAGGCACGTGCCTGTGGCGTGCAGGAGTGTCTGTCGGCGGGAGTACTGGACGTATCGCTGTCATAGTGCCAGCTGCTGCCGCCTGCTGCCGTCAGTGCTACCTCTTTTCTTACAGAAGACTATCCAATATTAGTTCTGCTCGCTAA